ACTAACTCATTTCCCATGTCCTGCTCCTGTATTCCACTACAACTACATACAAAGATGGTCAGACCCTTGATCTTGCCATCATCCACAAATGCACCACAACTTCCATGTTCATGAATTCTGAAATTCTTTTATCTGTTCACCATCTGTTGCCATTTTGCCTCTCCCTTTGCCTAGCTTTCCAAAACCCTGTTTTTGCTTTTTCCATGACCTCTAATCCCTCCAACCTCTCAGTACTTTCCCAGGCCATCATTGCTGCTCTACTATATTCTCTTACCTTTCCCATCCTGACCCCTTGAGAAACTAGTTCAACTCTACACTGTCCTCTTCTTTAGAATTTCTGGAGTCCTTATCTTATCACTGATCTTGCCCTTGAAAATCTCAGCCTTGTATTACTCATACTGTCTCTGTCATTGCACCTGTTCATCTGCTAATTGACAAAGATGGAGAAAAATCACAAAGCCATGCTGACTGGTTCCACTACAAATTTATATTTCATAACGTCAAGTGGGCCCTCACTGCAGCAATGTAATCTTTTTATATATCACTAATAGATTCAGTATATTGCCCACCAAAGCCCATCTTTCAAACCTTTTTATCCCTCCTCAAATCTGTCATGGCCTGCCCTCCCCCTACCCTTAGCTGAGAACCTTGCCTTATTTCACTGAAAGAACCTGAAGTCATTTGCTGCTTCCCTACTGCTTATAAGCATGCCCATGACGTCCCCATCTTCAAAGAACCCTCAATTGATCTATCCATCGCTGCCAGAAGTCATCCTTTCTTCTGCCTTTTTTGGTTAAACTCCTTCAGAGGGCCATCTACAATCAATGCCTCCATTTCCTTTTCTCTCATTCCCTTTTAACTCTGTTGTCTGACTTCTGACCTAATCATTCAATTAAAAGTGCTCTCTCCAGATTTTGAAATAATCTTTTAATTGCCAAAGCAAATGCTTTCTCCTCAATCCTCATCCTTCTTGACCTCTTAGCCTTTGGTGTTGTTGATCATCCTCTTCTCCTTGAAACTTTCTTATCTCTGTGTTTTCATGACCCTGCTCTCTACTGGTTCTTCTTCTGCCTGATTTTCTCATTCTTTGCTAGATCTTCATCCAGATCACACCTGCTAACTGTGGGTGTTCCCTAAGGTTGTGGGGCCTTTTCTCTTCTCCCTCTATATTTATTTTACTTGATGATCTCATCATCTCCCATGGATTTAACTATCATCACAATGGAAGTGAATCTCAGGTCTGTTTCTCTAGTTCTAACCTCTCCACTGATATCAAGTTGCATCTCCAACTGCTTATTAGATATCTCAAAATGGATGTCTCAATATAAGACTCAGTGTGTCCAAACTCAATATGTGCAAAACTGAACTTATTATCTTTCTAAGCCCTCACCTCATCCTAACTCTGATGTTACTATCTAAGGGTACCACGGTCCTCCCAATCATCCAGGTTTGAAACTCGTCATCCTCGACTTTTCATCTTCTGTCACCCTATCCCCTGTCTTATATACATTCTCTTCTCCCTGATGCTGCTACTACCCTGATTCTCATCATCTCACATATGGAGTCAGTGAGTCAATAAATATTTTTAAGACCTGCTATGTTCCAGGAATTGTGCTGAGTGCTGGGGATACAAAAAGAGGCAAAAGACAGTCCCTGCCCTAAAGGAGTTCATAGTCTAATGGGGGAGAAAACAAATATGTACAAACTATGTCCAGGATAAACAGGAAATAATTATAAGACAGAAGGCACTAGAATTAAGAGGGATTGGGAAAGGCTATCTGTAGCAAGTGTGATTTTAGTTGGGACGTAAAGGAAGCCAAAGAAGCCAGTAGGCAGAGATGAGGAGGGAGAGCTTTACAGGCATGGGGGCATCCAGAGAAAATACATGGACTGTTTCAATAGTCTGCAGGTTGGTCTACCTGCATCAAATCTTTGCTCACTCTAGTCCATCCTTCACCCAGTGGTCAAATTAATCTTCCTAAAGCTCAAATCTCGTATTCAATCAACTCTAGTGGCTCCCTATCATTGTCATGATTAAATATAAAATTTTGTTTGTTTTTTAAAGCCCTCTATAACCTGACCCCTTCCTACCTTTCTGGTCTTCTTGTACTTTATATCCCTCCAATCCCCAACATACTTTGTGATCCAGTGATATCAGCCTCCTTGCTGTTCCTTGACCACAACACTTCATCTTCTGATTCTGGCATTTTCCTTAGCTGTTCCCATGTCTGGAACCCTCTCCTTCTGCATCTTATCCTCTTAGCTTCCCTAGCTTTCTTAAGTCTTAGCTAAATCACACCTTCTGCAAGAAGCATTTACCAATTTACCCTGTATATAGCCTTTTTGTACATAGCTATTTGCATGTTGTCTCCCCTATTACTAGCAGCATTCCCCAGACCATTGATCCTGCTTCCAGCTCAGCCATTGCAACTGTCATCTGGGGAAGACTCCTGTGAAGAGACCAGCCATTCTCACCAACTGTTAACCAACTTCCACACATGGCACGCAAGACAGGCTAATTAAAGCAGCAAGTCAGTCTGAGGAAGAGACAGGAGGGAACATTTGCTGGCAAGTCAAACTTGAAAAAGATGACTTCTAAATCAGTTAGTATTCATTAATTTATTTTAGTTTGATTGTAGGATTACGTTTTCCTCCCTTAGGAAGAGCCAAGTCAAACAGCCAAGCTAAACTAGCATTGATATTCCTGTCAACTGGACTGAAACAAGCCTATAACCTGTGGGTAGCAGGAGTTGAAACAGAGCAGGTTAGACAGGCGAGTCAGGACACAAACAGAAGTTTAATTAATTTCAGAGTGAGGAAAATGTGACTTGCAAGCAGAAGCCCTCCTCCTAAGAAGGAGGGCTTAATGCTGCTGAGGCTTGGGTCACTTATATATATTAAAGGGGTTGGCCCACAACACAATTATTCTTAAGTCTTGAGACAGTTTTCGTGTTTGGCATTTCTTGGGACAATACACGTGTTCTTGGGTCTTGGGGTCATGATTACTCACAGGATACAGAACCAGAGTTCTGTGATGGGAACCCGAGTGTAGTACCTGGCAGTTACAAGGAACAGGGATTGTGAACATGTGATGGATGGCCCTGCAAAATAAGGGGAGCTAAATCCTTCAGTGAATGCCTGGTGCTGGTCCAAACAATATACTTTGCCAGAGTGATATCATTCTGAGCACAAAGGATTATTGTTATGCTAAGCTCAGGGCACAGCCTGCTTGCTGGGCCTTAGCTCTCGGAAACAGTGTATCTCAAAAATATTTTGACATTCCCTTAATCCTATGTTACCTGTATAGATTTAGTGAATAGATAAGCTTTGATAACAGATAAGTTTGAGTAAGAAATATATCTTTGTAGGAATAATCATCATCATATTAAATTAGACATTATAGGACTCTTTGCTAAAGGTCAAATTCCTCTTTCCAGTCTTAGTGGATAAATTCCCCTTTTTCTTGAACTAAAGGGTAAGTTCCTCTTTTCCAGTCTTAGTTCCCCTTTTCCTGAATTCTCTGACCCTTTTTCATAGTTGAAACTATCAATCTACAAGCCCTTTAAAAAGTAAAGCTTTTAATTGCAAATGCTGCAGCTACAGGATAAAGATTTCTAAGGCAATCTCACTTTGACAAACAGGTCGATAGGCCCTAATCCAAAAAAGTATCAGATTTAACAGCTGTTCCACCCCAGAAATGCCAAATTAAGCCCTGTTCCAAGCCCACATTCCAAAGGATGACATTACAACGTAATCTAGGGGTCCATGTATCCTTGGGAGCTATGGATGGGAAAATGTATGGAGTCTGCTGAGATATATTTGCTGCTAGCAGACACTGAGGGAGAAAAGTTTTTTGCTTACTTGTCAGAGGCATGGACCTTGGGTATCTGGTACCAAGACAGTCCTTGGGCCGGCCAGGGACATTCCTTGGGCCAGGCATCCCTATATCTGCTCTGATAAGAGAACGTGCTCATATTTTCTCATAGGACAGGGGCCCACTGAGAATTTGGGAAGCTTCCAGAGACGTGATCTTATGGCTAGGCCCAAGCACCCCATCATTCTCCCCTCGAACAAATGGCACCCAAAATCTTTTGGGGTAAAGGGCAAAGGTCTCTGAAACTGCTTCCTACTGGCAAGTGGCCAAGAGCTATCTCTCCCTCACAGGGGTCCCATCCGAGGGGCCACACTTTGGAACCTGGCTGCCAGGGCTAGTAGGTTGGGGGTGGGGGAGCTTCTACTCCAGCAAATGTAGGTATAGCACTCTTGCAGTCATCTGCAAGTTGATGGCCTAGGATTGGCAAGGAGGTTTAAGGAAAAAAGGACCAAAGAGGAGTAAAAGGAAAGTGACCAAGAGCAGACTAAGTAAGGGGCTTAGCAAAGAAAGGAGCCAGGAAGCCCCCATCAAGAGTTGAGAAAACACTCATGCAGGTCTCAGTCCAAGCACCCCATTAATACATGTTTAATACCCTGATGGATCGTAATCTCTCTGAATGTAGAAACTTTTACATTTTTGGCTTTGTAATCTCAGCAGCTAGCATAGTCTGGCACATAGTATGTACTCGAATCTGAAACCTTACTAAAAACCCAGGGTGCTCACGGTGGAACAAAACCAGCGAAATCCCCGACGTGGCCTGTACTTTGCCAGGACCGGGGGTAGCGGGTGCGACCCTCGGACACAGATGTGGGAGAGCCAGACACGCTGCTATATCCGGCAAAGAAGCCTCAGGAGAAGCGAGGCCCCAACGCCCCACCAAATTAGATCTATGAATGTCCAGAGAAAAATTAGGCCAAATACCAGCAGCGAGCTAAGAAGCATGGGGCATGTGGCTCGGTTGGCTTCTGCCATCTACTCGAACCCTTGGCGGCCTCTCCAGTTTCCCTCACATGTATTCGCCCCGCCTTCCGCCCCGCCCGCCTTCCGCCCCTGCTCCTTAGCATTTCCGGCCATGCTCCCTACAACTTCCGGCCCGCTCGCGCCTACCTTCCCCTGCCCTTCGCACTTCCGACCCGCCCACCCCTACCTTCCCTTGCCCTTCGCACTTCCGGTCTGGCGCGCGCAGGCTTGCTAGCTTTAGCTTTGAAACGGTTGATTGGCTGGGCGGTTTGCTCAGCAGCTGAGAGGAGGCTGGTGCGCCATGTTCTACCTCGTGGCCCTGCTTGCAGGGCTCAGTAGGCTGCCGATTTGGGGCCTCGGTGAGTTTGGGAGGAGCCGGGGACTTTAACCACATGGGATGCCTTAAGAAGAAAGCGCTTAAGCAAAAGAGCGCCCCTAAGTTCAAGTGCTGGAGCTGTGACTTTAAGAACCCCGTGACCTTGCTGCTGTGGGCCTCAAGTGTCCACAGCTTTCAAATGGGGGCAAGGAGGGAGGGATGATACCCTAAAGGCCCCAACTCATAATCTTCAGAGCATCTGTACAAACCGTATGGCCTCGTCTGTACGGGAGCCCCGCATTGCCTTGGGCTTCCGCTCCAGACGCCCTCCCAACTTCAGTCTCCTCATGTGTGAAATATATGACCTCATTGGACTATTGTAGAAAACACTTGCAAACCTTAAGTGCGCAGTGAATGTGTAAGTTATTGTTAAGTCAAGGGGCTGAATCACCCTTGTCACCCCTGCTTTATCGGAGAGACATTTTTACATAACATTCCCTTTCTTCCCTTTCGTGGCAGGGGTAATACTTCAGCAGATTAGGGGAAATATTTGATGAGTATAATTGTATAACATATAATTATATGTTCCAAAAGTATAACTGGGTAGATTCTAAGCTAACTGAAGAAACTAAAAAGAATAGTCCATAACAATAGTCCTTCGCAGCCTGGGCCCTTGTTACACTTTATTCCCGATTTCTTAATCTGAGGTCCAGCTGACAATGGCCTCCTTGTTGTTTCTGTATCCCAGGACGTTCCCCCTGACTCTGAGTCTTTTCTCTAGCCGTACCCCCTGAGGGCTTCTCCTTCCTCATCTCTTGTCTCCTAGCTTCCTTGGTTTCTTTCATGTCCCAGCTGAACTCCTGCCTCCCAGAAGAAGCCCTTCCCAGTCTTCCTTAATCTTAGTGTCTTTCTTCTGAGATTATCATCAATTCATTCTTTATCTTGTTGTAGATAGCTGTTTGCATGTTGCTTCTCTCATTAGACTGAGGTCCTTGAGAGCAAGAACTGTTTTGTTTTATTTTATTTTATTTTTTACTTTTCTTTGTATCCCCAGGGCTTAGCACAGACAGTATCTGCCACATGGTAGATGCTTAATAAAACGGTGTGTATCAATAAGTTTTTATAAGAAGACATGTTTGTACTTTTGTTCCATAAATTACTTCCTGTAAGAAGATGATTGCACTGAAATTCTTTTTCCCAAACCAAAGTAAAGATGTTTCTGATTTAGTTTCAGTAATTAGTGGAATAACAGTTAAGTCCCTTAATCAGTTGTACCAGTACAGAATTATTTTTCATTACTTTGAAACATTTAAAGACCTTATTTCATACAGATATATATCTAGTGACAGGCCAATGACTAGGCCTAATATTATTTACTAAGTTGTTTAATGTATGGAAAGGAGCATTTCAGGCCGAAATAGCTCAGATCTTAAACACACATTTTATTATAGTAGCTTAGATGTATTCGAGACTTGGTCTATGGGATAATGATTAACATTGTATTTGTACCTTTGTTTCACAAACTTCTTTTCCCTTTGTCTAATTATTCCCGTATTATTAAGAAATAATGTTCTATTCCAGGGATTTGATCTTTCACATGACTGTGCAGGCAGGCAGAGGGCAAGCTTGGGTACTGATTTACTTAGTTGTTTGGGATATGGAATGACTACACATTCAGATTGAAAAGAGCAACATCTCACATAGTTACCGTGACTATAGATTACAGATTACAATCCATTGTCCGTTGTAGTATAGGTTATAGTCCATTGTCAGTTCGACCTCAGATTAAGAAGAGGGGAATAAAGTGTAAGAAGGGACCAGTCTGAAGGGCTTTAAAAGTTGCCATCCAGTCGTCATGGACTATTCTTTTTAGTTTCTTCAGTCAGCTTAGAATCTATCCAGTTATACCAGTTGTTTATTCTAGACCACATCTCTTCAGCTTGTCCACAAGGACAGCATAAAAAGCCTCATCACTTGTTCTGATTGTAAAAGTTTGCTCTAAAAGGAAAAAGCTAGGACATGATTATATCAAATATGACAGGATAAAACATCTTTGGCTCTGTTTGAATTTAAATAAGAGTCACCACTAACCGTGCAGCATCAGTTCCACCTCATAGCCAGACTCGGGAATAGTCAGGTGGGAAACATTACTTTTCCAAGGAACACGACTGAGAAATTGAGCCAGGAGGATCCCACCTTGAACTGATGCCCAGATTGTCCTCTTGGCTTTTCCCAGAAGCAAATCTCCATCTGTAACAGGATCACATTACCTCTGAGTAGCTTGTGGCATTTCTCTCAAATACTGATTTAATGCAGACAGCTATACCTAGATTCAAACTCAGAATGAAATCAGGGTAGTCTAAATTGTTTTTGTTCTTATAGAGTGGCAATAAGTACATAAACTTCCAAATTCTGAAGAAGCCAAGTTCATTGTTTAGGAACTCCATAACCCAAACAGACTCTTTCTTCTGGAGCTGATGACTTTGCCCGCCAGATGGTTTCTGGGGATCTGGCAAGTTTACAAAGTAAAGGAAATCAGCAGGGACCTCAAAGAAGGGCCTGATCTACCTGTCCACTCCATAATATTCTTCTTCTAGACTGATGAAAAGACACATACTTTCTACTTGGCAGTCCATTATTTTCAATCTTAATTTAATTTGTTTTACCCTGATTTTTTTTTCCTTGCCAGGATGTCTTTTGGGGCTCCCATATTTTATTGTTGTGATCTCAGTATATGTTAGCTGGCACATGTGGTCTACAGTTACCCCTCATAGTCCTACATTGGAGGCGACATTGGCTGTCTTCCTAAGTGGGGCTGGTGGGAGGAGGGGAAGGGGGGGAAGGGAGGAGACTGGGAAGTATCCTTGTCTACCCTTAGTGCTGCTGTGGGACCAATTTTAAGTTTTAACATTATAACAATAACCCCAAATAACTTAGTTAACAATCAGGTTTTTCATAAGTGAGAACCAAGTTGTTTTAGCTGTAACTTTTTAATTATAGGCAAAAGTGGAAATACCCGGTTTCCTAAATGGCAGTTACAAAACATAAGACAGGGTTAGCAGGGCTTAATAAAATAACAACTGGTTTTAAACAATTTTGTCCATTGTCTTCTAGTTTTAACAAAATTCAAATTAAAAAATGCTTTGTCTAACACCATTTCTGGCTCATAGTGGTCACTCAAGTTTTACAATATAGGACAATTTTACAATACAGTTTGGAAATACAATAATAATACATACAATAAACTTCAAATGACATTAATTGCATTTCCAAATTATCACATATAAAAATTATTGATAGAAGGTTGGGCTTATGAAGTGCAGAGGCTGGCCTTTTACCTTGTGCTGCCCTGACCCATCTCTATTTCCCTCTCCCCCATAGTTGTAGACACTGCTGAGGCTGATGCTGCTTGCCTAGAGGGGTAGGCTTCGGGGTGCCTCTGTTACCAGTAGGGCCCTGCTGTAGCTGCTGTGCCTACCCCCTCCTTTCTTCCGATGGGTGGCTCAAATTCCCTACCATTCTCCAGCACTCTGTTTTCTTAATGTGATCTGGGATGAGAGGGGTTAACAGAATCTGCTAAGTTGTTTTTCAGCTGTTTTAACTTTTCAGTATAGCCTTTGCCCAGTCAGAGCCAGGATGACAGGGAGATGAATCTTAAGAATTTTTGAACTTTTACTGAAGTAAATTCCCCTTTTGTGTCCACATTTAAAAACTTTTCGAGAGTAGGAGATTTGAACCTGCCAGTCAAAGTGAGTGGGACAATGGAAAATCCAGTGGTGCCTAGTCCCCTCTTCCCAGTACTGGAGAGCTCAGAGTTCCATCTCTGAGGTGTCTTTATCAGATATGTGCATTTTCCCAATTTATATTAGTGTTAAGTAGTATAATAAATTCTGACTTATCTTAAACATCAAATTAGGAGAGACAGCATTTCACTTGAAATGTAACCAGAATGAATTCAATTGCCTGGATCTATGTTCCAAATGGTAATACACAGATTCTGGGGTTAGGATTTTAATACAACTGTAGTATTATATTTTACACAAATGTACCCCAATCATCGCACTTAAGAGCATGTTTAATTTAGTTCAAATCTGGGTTCCAGAGTCTTGGAAGGAACCATACCTCGCTATGATTCTCTTTCTTTCTTTTTTTAAATATATTTTTAGTTTTCAACAATCGCTTCATACACTTTTGAGTTTTAAATTTTTCTCTGTTTCTGCCTCTCCCTCCCCAAGGTGGTGTGCAGTCTGATATAGGCAGTATATATACATTCCTATTAAACATATTTTCACATTAGTCATGTTGTAAGGAAGAATTAGAACTAATTGGAGGAACCACAATAAAGAGGAAACAAATCAAAACAAGAAAAAAAAAAGCAAATAGTACGCTTCAATCTGCATTCAAATTCCATAGTTCTTTCTCTGGATGTGGATAGCATTTTCCATCATGAGACTTTTGGAGATCCTTGCATTGCTGAAAAGGGCTAAGTCTATCAAAGTTAGTTACTGTGCAACGTGGCTGTTACTGTGTACAACATTCTCCTGGTTCTGCTCACTTCACTCAGCGTCAGCCCATGCACATCTTTCCAGGTTTTTCTGAAGTCTACTTGCTCATCATTTCTTGATTTCTTGATCATTTCTTGAACACCTTCGCAAGTGGTAGTTTTCCAAGCCATTTTCCACTGGTTCCCCCGCCTGTACTGAGGCACTCAGTGGTCCTTGTGTTGGTGCTTGCCTGCTCTACTACTCTGGGGTTCAGGATCTTCCCCTGGTATGCTGAGGTGGGGCTTTCTGTTGGCTTGCTGAAACACCTCCTGTTCTGTGCTGCTTCCTTTCCCGAGAGCGAGAGGGGCCTTTCACGTTAATCTCCCAAGCTTTCTGGACTACTAGGTTGCTGCACCCTGTCTTTCTGCTGGTTTATCCGTTCCAGGGTTTTCCTGGGGCAGTTTTCTGGGCTTTCAGAGATCAATAAGGGAGAATGAGAGTGACTTATTTTTTGCTCTGCCATCTTGGCTTCTGGAAAGTAGCATCAACTTTTATCATACTTAACAGACAAGGACTAAAAACTCTGTAATTTGAGGAAAACAGCTACTCCTAGGGCTTACCAAGATTCTGATGCTATTTACATATGACCTTAAGTTTAAGTGCTCTGAAATCACAGCTTTTAAAAAAATTATTATTTTAGTTTATAATTGTATTAAGAGGGTCATACAGGTTCCGATTAACATTTCTGACTCCATTAAAAAGAAGTATTGTGATATAGTGGACAGGAAGCCAGTCTCAGATTCAGTAGGACCTTGCTTTCTATGATTTCTTAAGATGAAGAGGAGTCATAATTTAGTTAAGTTTCCGATTTTACAAACATACTGATTTAAAAGTTATTTAAAATTTAACCAGTACTTACTTTTAGTTTCTAAGACTCCCTAAATTCTAGGGAGATATTCCAGTCAAACTCAATTACATTAATTCACATAAACCTTTTTTCTTTTTTTGGTGACTCAGGAAAGGGTTAAGTGCTAGTCCTATTCCAAAGTGCAGTTTTGAAACCTTCCTGTCTTTGTTCAGTGAAATGACCCTTTTTCTCCTGGATAACTCTGAGGGGGGAAGTTTACCCCTTCTTTTTTTTTTTTTTCAATCTGTCCTTCCACATCCAGAACTTGGCCAGAGTCCAGGAATGTAGAAAGAGAGAGAAAGCTTTTTCCAACAACTTTTCTTTAACAGACACTCATCAGTTTTTCCAGACCAGGCAGTTTTTTCTTTTCCATCTGTCTGTGTTTTAAATCTTACAAGGTGGCCGACTGAGACATTTTCTCCCAGACACAGAGCAGACAAATACAAATAGCACAGATGATGATGACTTTTCTTGGTCTTCTAGATTATGTAGAGACAAGGCTCTATTAAAGTTTAGTAGTCCCATGAGATGGGAGCTAGGACTGAATGCCAGTAAGCCTAAAGAAATCCCCTATATACCCATGGAAGATCACAGACTTGGAGAGAGTAGTGGGATGTAATGAATCAAAACAAAGGAAAACTATAAGAATTTTAAGAATCTTGCTGGCACAAATTTTGCCATAAGAGGTCTAATTTCAGAGACAAATGGGGGTGATACATAGAAAAGGTTAAACTGGTCATACCATTAAGCAAACTGAGAAATGTAGAATACTTTGGAGCTTATAAGAGGAAACCAGAGAACTGGTAGGTCTTGAACTGAGGTTATTTTAGCAGGTAATAAAAAACTTGTTTACTTTCTCTAGATTCTCAACAGTCATTCATGGAGATCACAGTTCCAGAGGAGATCCTATCAAATTCAAGTGATTCAGACTCAGAATATGTAAGAAGCAGAATTACTCAGAGTTCTAAGTATGGTATTAATTCTTATATCTTTAATTGCACTAAGAAACCCAATAACTCTCAATAAGTAAGGCTACAACATATGTGGTCACCTAAAAGGAACACAAATTTAGCTCTCAGCTTCATTGTGGGACAGTGAGAGTAAATAAATTGTGGGTTTTTGAAGTGATTTAGAGAAGATCTCTATATTGCAAGTGAAGTGGAGAACTGAGGTATTATATATTATATGTCATACTCTATCCCCCCAAAAAACCTAATACTTTTCACTGGAAAATCCAGTTTTTTGAGGGGGAAAATATTTCAGCTTGATTTTATATATAAAATTATCTTAATTCGTGTTACTTTCTTTATATAATGACATTTAATATGTTAAAATAGTCTTCTGGTGTTCTGAAATAGTTAATGTATCTTCATAAATTCCTTACTCGTGTGGCATAGCTTTTACTATGTAATTTATTTGCTGGGAAAGATGGAGAAAAATGCTCTAATGCTTAATTGTAAGTCATTGTAAGTCTGAGTGTGGTTCCATATGACAGACATTGGCTTCCTTGCCATTCCTTTAACATAATACCCCCATCTCCTGGCGTTCTTCCTGCCCCCACCCCCCTCACATCCCCGTGCCGAATGCTCTCTCCTCATCTCTGCCCCTGGCTTCTCTGATTTCCTAAAGTCCCTCCTTCTACAACAAGCCTTCCTCAGTCCTTGCTAATTTTAGTACCTTCTGTCACGTTAATTATCTACAACTTCTTCTGTCTCTGTCCTCTTTGTAGGTAGCTGTTTGCATATTGTCTCCTCCATTAGACTCTGAGCTCCTTGAAAAAAAGGAGTATTTTTAAAAATTAGATTATTTTTAAAAGTTATTTTTGCCTTTCTTTGTGTCTCCAACACTTAGCACAGTGCTTCGCACATAATAGGTACTTAATAAATGCTTTTTGACTTAACTCAATTGCTCTCTATGGACTAGTCTAGCTAATTATAGAATGGCTTATTCTTAGCTAGTTGGCCACTAGGTGATAATTTGTCTTACTGTTGTTACCTATGCAACAGATAAAAATATAAAATGGCTCTCAAAACCTGTGCCATAAAAATACAGATGGCCTCCTTCCACTTGCATAGAAATATAAAATATTCTCCTTTTGTACCAGCAGTGATAGTGGCAGAAGGAGAGGAGAGGGTGATAAGAATCTGAGTTTTATAGATTATCCACGGACATCAACTTTTTTTTTTTGCGAGGCAATTGGGGTTAACAGGGTCACACAGATAATAAGTGTCAAATGTCTGATGCTGGATTTGAACTCAGGTCCTCCTGACTCTAGGTCTGCTTCTGTATCTGCTGTGCCACATAGCTGCCTTGACATTGACTTCTAGTGCTCTTAACATGAGGTCTTTGTGAAATGACTGACAAGTTGATATAAATAGAAACATGTTCATATTGGCATTTATGCTATAAATGAAATGAGAAGGTGTAAATGAGTTTGCTGTTAAATAAAAGGAAAGCTCACAGAAGTGATTTGGCAGAATTGGTCATGCACCCAAAGGCATTAAGAACTATCATTTAATGGGACAATTTATCTCACCTTGTAATGGTCATGATAATCATAAAAAACAGACTACCCTGAAGATAATTGCAGCTCATTGCTGCTCGACATCTATCATAGAGGATGAAGAAGTATGTTGAGGGGTCCCCTGAATGTTTCCATATTTTTTTAGAAACACTGGACCTAGAGTATACAGGAGGCCCTGAACATGTCAAAGAGAAAGTATTCCCCCACCCCCACTGGCATAATTTGTTACTGCACCCCAAGCTGGACTCCCATGTGTCCTTGAGAGTCAAGACAGGCACCAATCAGTCAACACTAGGCTGAGAAACTGCTTGTGCAGCTGAGATCCTTGTAGATAAGCAGATCCTATCTTCATGGTCTAGGGAGGGAAAAGAATGCTTCTTTTGCCATGCTTTGTTATTCCCCTTTGGGAGGGGTTTTGTCCTTTTCCTACCTTTATTGCATCTTTCCCCTTCCCATGCCACTCCCCTTTAGGAGGAGATTTCTATTTCCCCTCCTTCTTCTGTTGTATTGTCGTAAATATACAAACCTGTGTATGGATTGTGAGCTCTTTGCTCTGGCTTTGGGTTCCACGTTTGTGTTCATTTCTCTTGTAGGAAGTCTAGTTGCAACACAGTATCTCATGGACTTGTGTTATTGTGCTTGGTTAACAAGTAGAAAAATTACTGAAGAATCTGAAAAGATTTCCCAAACTGAATGTATACTTTAATATTTAGTAATTTCAAAGAAAGCTGGGAAATAGAGTTTAGGTCTAAGGAATGAAATGAAAGAGGTCATCACAATGATTCATCAGGATGTCATGAAAGACATTGTTTTCAAAAATGAAAATAGGAAGATGTTAGTTGTGGCTGATCTTAAATAGGGATAGGGACTGGACCTATGATTTCACTGATATACAGAACTCCCAAGTGAGGAAGCCCCCTCCACTAAATGTAGATCAACATTGAGTAACATCACCAAAAACCAGAAAAAAACTGCCTTAAGAGAGAAGAAACAACTAGTTTGCCTATGTGGAAGTAATAACCTTTCTTTAAGATCCATAAAGCCTTCCAAGATCTCAGGTGGGAGGAATCTGTCATCAGTTTTTTCAGCACATTTTGCACAGACCTCTACTTTATTGTATTGTAGTTATTTTTAAAAAGTTTCTTCTGTTACATCATACAATCATAGATTTAGATCTGGACAGGATCTCAAAAGTCACCAAGTCCAACCTCTTATTTTACATTTGAGGAAATTGAGGCCAAGAAAGGTTAAATAGCCTGACCAGAGTCACATATCTACTAACTGTCTTGATGTAGAATTTGAACTCCAGAATCCAAGTCTATTACTTTATCTATCATGCTGGCTCTTTAGAGTTTAGGTTCCTTAAGGTCAGGAACTGTATCTGTTTTTACTTTTGTATCTTTTTTTTAGACTCTGGATTTACTCTCCCAACCCACAAGAACATTAGCAAATGAGATTCCTAGAGACAGGGAGGCTACATTTTCCCTTCAAAGTTCTAGGGTACCTCTGAAGGTTTGTGGGGGACTTCTTCTAATGCTATCATCTCAAGTTCCCATGCTTCCTGTATTCTTTCTAAAGTTAACTACTAGCTATTACTTCTCCAGTTTAATTTGATCAATTAACACCAGTTGGCTTTTACAAAGGGACATTTCCTTTGAAAATAGATCAAGAACAGAAGTATAAACATTTTCCCCCAATACCTGGGGCATACTGTCCCCTATACCATTTTGGTTCATGGGGTCAAACTTAGAGCATTTTCTACATAAATAGTATTTGAACCACTGAGTTCACATTTACATTTGGCATAGCTGACGAATCCATTATCATAGCTTTCTCCAAGGTACCTTCGAACTATGCTGACTGAAAAATCTAGCATGAACCTTGACTTTCAGACCTTGGGTGGTTTGAAGCTGTCTCCAATACTCCAATTCATCTAAAGATGAGATGGACAGATACAACCAAACAACAGGGCCAATCACTCATGGACCACATGGTAGCAGCTCCTGTACAGAAATAAAGATCTATGATATTGGTCCCCACCAAGGGCTCACAATAAGGCCTTGCTTCTTAACTAGAACACATCTAAGCAGGAAAGAGTCAAAGGAAGATTTCTTTGGTGGTTAGTGCCTTTTGAATGTACTCTGTGTCTAGCTCAGCAGTGGATCAACAGTCCATCTCTTTCCCCTTGTAGTTAGAAGATAGGAACCAGTTATAGAATATCTGTACATGGCTCAATTCAGAGAACTTCTACTACACATCATTATTCCTTTCTGGAAGCAGGTTCTCCAGCCTCTTCCATGGGGGCTGGCAGCAAGTAAAGCATGTGATCTGAAGATGGGGTTCCATTGGCTAGGTTCCTGTTTCATTTGTGTTTGCAATGTCTGGAGTGATCTCCTTTATAAAGTAGATGATTAATAAACACTTGTCAAATGAATCAATTTATTCTTGGTTTCATGGATCTAATTACTAGAAACCTTAAAGTCCTCTTAAACTCTCTGTGGTCCTAGATAATAATTGCCACTAATGTCACATCCTTCCAATATTCTCCTTTCTCTTCTCTTTTTCCACTCCTGATAAAAATCACAGTTGAGACCAAACGAACCAAGGGAATAAAAATTGCTATCTTGAGTAGCTATTCTGTTGTCACTAAAATAGTGATATGCCTATGAAATGATTGGAATTCTGCAGTCAAAAATTGAGGGTCATATTTTACCAGTGCTTATGGAATATTGATAGGGGCTAAACAAAGGAAGACTTCGAGGTGTTGCTGTGAGGTCTTGGTATAGTTGTCACATAAAGACCCTAATCTATATGCATCCATGTATTGACCATCCCCAGTACTTATAGATTGCCAGGAAGAATTTTGTGGCCTGGAAGGTGCTTAATTATGTTGCTGGTGGTGTGGAGAGCTGTAACATTTGGTAGACTAGAAAGGCTATGGGCCTGACAACCACATGGGAACCCAAGTATTACCTCCATACCCTAGAACTATTTCATACCTTCTGCATCCAGTCTATATACAAAACTGGCCCTCATAGGAAATTCATAGTAAAAGGAACAAGGCAGACAAGAGAGCAGAGACATTAGGGCAGCTTGCCATCTCATCCAGCTGCTTTTAATTCTTTCTCCTTTAGAGAAAGCCTGCAGCTGGTGACTGAAGACATTTGACTGAATAGGGAACAGATAAATTTGATCATAGTGACTGGAGGATGTGGTACTCAAACTTTGGTCTTCTGATCCCAAGTCCACTGATAATGGTTGTAGATTTTGTTGGAGTTTGGTTGTTTTGGGAAGAATATGGATTTGAGGATTCCTCTCAGAAACCTTCTGAAAACAGTCACTTAATCCCTTTGTGCCTTAGTGATCTCATCCACAAAATGGAGGCAATAATACTTATCCTATCCACCTCACAAAGTTGTTATGAAAATGAAATGAGCTAATTTTAGCTACCAAAAATACCTACCTGGACTCAGAAAAGGGATAATAACCCACCTGGTAAAGGAGGGAACAAAGACTATAATCAAATTTATCTGTTCCCTGTACGGACCAGTTCTCTACACAGCTGTTTCCTTAACACATTCAGATTATTCATGAGACTTGATTGGCTCAAGGGACTTAAGGCTCAGGCTGTTGACATCACTTCCTAGTTACCTGAGTACAAAACAGCCATGAGGAACTGCGGGCACTCTGATGCTTGACCAACCTCCATGGGCAACTGAAGCAAGGAAGCTTCATTCAGCTCAGTAAACATGGGATGTACTCAAAGCACAATCTGTTTAATATCTTCTTGCTTGGGCTAAGTAAATCTTTTGTAAACTGGTAAGTGACTTATGAGTATCTCGTGTTGTTCCCTTATTAAACTAAACTACAGGAAACTGGCCTGAATCAGTCCTAGCTCAGAACACCAAGCAATTAAATGATACAGTGCTTCAATGTGTTTTCTTGTCATCTTAAGATGTGGCATAACTATATTCTTTCTGAAATTATACTACCTACTATTAGAGGTAGGGGTCTAGGGGAATGTTATGATGTGGGATTATATTTACAGACCTTAAGGATAGGGAATAGGATATATCCCTAGCATATGGGAAATCCTATGAATTTGGTGAGTCAGTCTGAAAGACACAGAGAATCACGCTGATCTAAGGCATCGAGAATTTAATATAGTTGAACAGTGCCAGTTGCCTCACTGCTGCTCTCTTATGATCTCATTTCATTGATTCCTAATGTTTTTCTGCTTCTAATTGTTGTCTGGGAGTTTTTTTCTTGGCTCTTTGGTCTCCTACTTTTATCTATGTCTCCTGCAGATCTCCTTATGGTATTTATGAATGTGGGGCATAATATTTAAAAGTTATAGTTAATATTATTTTTACAAAATTCTAACTGTAAACTTTAAATGAAGATTATTTAGAATTAATGAAAAAGTATTTATTAAATGGTATATGGAAAGCACTGTGCTAATTAAGAAAGACATTGCAAATATCTCTTGGGTAATAATAGATGTAAATATTGCTCTTTTATTTCTTGAATTGCTATGCTAACTTCTTGTTCTGGATATTCTAGGAAGAGATTTCATACAGGATATCAATAGAAGGGAGACAATACACTTTACACCTCAAAAAAAGGTAAATGTTTATTCCCTTGGATTAATTTTAACTAATCTTAATTACAAATAAGCCAACCCTAATTAACTGTGAAATGAGTGTGAATGAAGAATTGAGGATGACACTAAGATTGCAACCCTGGGTGACTGGAAGGGTGGTGGTTTCTCAATAATTATAGGGAATTTGCAAAGAAAAATGGGTTTGAGGAGGAAGATAATGAGTTAAGTTTTGGACATGTATCCACTTTGAGATGTCCAGTGGGCAGATGGTTATGTAAGCCTGACCCACAATAAGTGCTTAGTAAATGCTTATTGATTTTACTAGCAGTCAAGACTGAAGTCAGAAGTCAGAAGTCAGAAGTCAGAGCTGGATAAATAGATCTGAGAATCATCTGCAAAGATTATTGAACCCATGTAAGCAGATGAGATTACCAAGTGAGATAGAAAAGAGAAGAGAACCCAGGACAGTCCCTTAAGGGCCATTCACTGTTTGAAGATATAATAAAGAAGACTGAGAAAGGGTGGTCAAAGAGATAGGAACAGAACCAGGAAAGGACAGCGTCATGAAAACCTAGAGAGAAGAAAGAATCCAGAAGTAGAAGATGAACATCAGTGCCAAAGGCTACAGAGAGGTCAAAAAGGAGGCCTGAGAAAAAGCCTGTACATTTGGCAATTTAACAAAAGACTGGTAACTTTGAAAAGAACAGTTTTAGTTGAATGATGAGGTTGGGATTCAAACTAGAAAGACTTAGAAGAGGGCAAAAGGAGAAGCCGAAGCACTCACTGTAGCCTGCTTTCTCAAACAGTTTAGTCATAAAAGAGAGGAAAGATAGAGAATGATATTTAGAGGGGATGGTAGGATGAAGTTAGGATTTCTTGAGAATTTGGGAGATGTGGGTGTGTTTGTGGGGAGCAAGGAAGTAGCCAATAAAAATTGAAAATTAGTGAGAATGATAGAAGGAGTAAGTTGCTGGAAAAGACAAGAAAGGATAGAATCAAACATACATGTAGAGGTGATTGCCTTGGCAGGAAGAAGGGCAGCTTCTTTGTGTGAGACAAGTGAAGGGGAAGATAGTGAAGGGAGGAGTCTAAGGGATGTGAGATGAGGAAGAGGTAGAAGAGAGAAGCTTGGGCAAATGGCCTCAATTTTTTCCATGAAGCATGAGATAAAGTCCTCAACTAAGAAGATGGGAGTAGGGGATATCATGAGAATTCTGAACAAAGAAAAAGAGGTTCACGATAGCCACTATGGTGCATGGAATAGTGAATGAATTAGGGATGTGTGAAAGGATTGCTTTGCTGCAGTGAGAGCCCAATTGAGATTATGTAACAGATTTATAGTGGACCTAGTCATCAGAATTCCATGATTTTCTCCAGCTCTATTCATCAACAAATGTTTGTGTGTGTGTGTGTGTGTGTGTGCGTGTGTACATGTGTGTGCGTTTGCATGGGATAATCCATCTCTTTTGTCTAGATGGGGTGGTATGGAGAAGTAGGTCATGGGAAATAAGAAAAGAAAAAACTGAGAAATTTGAGAAAGTTTCAATATCATTCCATAGTATGAGGCCAAGAGCCTTTTCACTGATACCAGTGGAGTGAAATGATTCTGGTTTAGTCTATCAAAAGAATGTCTGTATTTATTATTCAGCTCCTCCCCCAATGTGTGTACAGTGGTGCATAGACAAGGATTTTATGTTTATTGTGTACCAGGAAGCAAATTAGAGTTTACTGATGTTATAAAAGCTGTGTGATTTTTAACCTCTTTGTTCTCTTGTCTTCCACTTTGATACTAGCATTGCAGAAGCAGAAGGGGGCTACATGAAACTGAGAGACGTTTAAAATTTTGTTTCATGGGTTGCCATCACCAAAAAAATTCCTCACTGTCCATCTGTCTTGGGCTGGAAAATTGTTTCACCACATCCTTTTGTGGGTTCTAGCATGCCAAAATTTGTTTCGGTGATCAGTGTACAAATGATATGTGTTTTCACAATCATCAAGTTTGGTTTTCACAAAACAGAGTCAATATGTCTCTGGTGCCAAAATCAATGTCTTTCTAGCATAGTAGAACCTTTCAGACCCTATGGTCCACTGGCATAACCTTTGAGAAGCCAGGATCACCTCCATGCTATAAGACATTAGTGTAGGACTTCATAGACATTTTCTCAGTGGAGGGCAGTGAAGCATAATACTTGCAACCTGATATTTCAGTCCCTAATGTGCTTGTAGAGGAGGTAGAAATGACACTTAAAAGACCAAAGACAGGAGAAGCAGACAGATTGGATCAAGTATATATAGAAGAGATCTCTGCTAAAGGCAATACAATTATGAGAGCATTAAGGGATCAAAAAACAGGGTGTCTAAGGAGGGGAAGATATTAAAGGATATCAGAAAATTTTGTATCACATTAATAATACAAAAAAGGCAACAAAAAAAATACTAACCTGTATGCCTCCTGCCCCATCTATACAGAATCCTTGTGAGTATCACTTATATAGCACAGAGCCAATATGGCAGAGAAGAGGCAGGGATTTGCCTTGGCTCTCCCAAATTCCATACCAAACAACTTTAAATAACATCTCAAAACAAATTTTGGCATGCTAGAACCCACAAGAGGATGCAGTGAAACAATTTTCCAGCCCAAGACAGATTAGAAGATTGGCCAGAAAGATCTATCACATTGGTGTGAGAGTAGATCACAGGCAGTGCCCCAGCAAACCAAGGGCAGACATTGGGAGCAACTGAAACAGCAGTGGCAATGGCGGTGGCTGCTTCTGGAACTCTCAGCTTAAATATAGCAAGGGAGTTGCACAACTGGTCAAAAGGAAGTTATAGAGGTCTCTTTGCTGGCAGTGGAAACAGGACTCTCTTGCATTGCCTACGCTTGGATCCAGGTTACAGTCATAGGAGCTGCACTAGCAGACAGCGCTTGAGGCATCAGGGAACTGGGGACTCTACTCACAGTTTTAGGGCAGACAAGAGTACTTGTTTACTCTTACACAATGTTTATGGACCATGAAAATAGTAAACACACCTCTCCTTAGCTCATACTACCTTGGAAGAACTGAATGCTTACAGACCCTCAGAGCTAGCTCTGAAAATGGCTGCAGAAAAATCCTAAAGCTTGGAACAGTGTCCTCTCCACTCTGGGAGCAAAGCCCAACTTTAATATAAAATTTAAAGTAAAAAGTATGGAAATATCGTATGGAAAAATGAACATATGAGGAAAAAAAGTCATGATTGTGGAAAATTATTATGGTGAAAGGGAAGATCAAAACACAGCTCAGAAGAAGGTAACAGAGTCAAATCTGCTACATCGAAAGCCTCAAAGAAAAATGTGAATTTGTCTCAGTCCGTGGAAGAGCTCTAAAACTGTTTTAAGAAGTAAATAAGAGAGGCAGAGGAAAAATTGGGGAAAAAATGGTGATGCAAGAAAATCATGAAAAAAAGAGTCAACATGGTAAAGGAGGCACCAAAAGTACTTAAGAAAATAGTAACCTAAAATACAGGATAGGTCAACTGGTAAAAGAGGTATAAAAAACGAATGAGGAGAAGAATGCATTGAAAAGCAGAATTGGTCAGATGGAAAGAGAGGCCCAAAAATTTACTGAAGAAAAAAACTCTGAAAAGTATAATGGATCAAATGGAAAGGGAGGTACAAAAGGTATATGAAGAAAATAATTCCTTAAAAATTATAATTGGGGTGGAAGCCAATGACTCCATGAGACATTAAGAAGCAATAAAACAAAATGAAAAGAATGAAAAAATGGAAGAAAATGTGAAATGTGTCATTGGAAAAATACAGACCTGGAAAATAGAGAAGAGATAATTTAAGAATTATTGAATTACCTGAGAGCCATAATGTAAAAAGAGAAAAACAGAAACAAAGAACCTTGGACATCATCTTTCAAGAAATTTTGAAAGAAAACTGTCCTGATATTCTGGAATCAGAGGGCAAAATATAAATTAAAAGAATCCACTAATAACCTCCTGAAAGAGATCCCCAAATGAAAACTCCCAGGAATATTATAGTGAAATTCTAAAACTGCCAGGTGAAGGAGAAAATATTGCAAGCAGCCAGGAAGAAACAGTTCAAATATCATGGATCCAGAGTCAGGATAATGCAAAATTTAGGAGTTTCTACATTAAGGGATGAGAAGGCTTGGTATATGATTTTCCAGAGGGTGAAAGAGCTTGGATTAAACCAACAATCACCTACCGAGTAAAACTGTGTATAATACTTCAGAGGAAGAAGTGGACATTCAGTGAAAGAGAAGACTTTGAAGAATTCCTGATGAAAAGACCAGAGATGAAGAAAAAATTTGACTTTTAAATATAAGACTCAAGAGAAGCATAAAAAGGTAAATAGGAAAGAGAAGTCAGAAGGGACCCAAGAAGGCTAAATTGTTTACATTCCTACATGGGAAGATGATACTTATAACTCATAAGAACTTGCTTATTATTAGGGCAGTTAGGAGTGTACATAGGGAGCATGAATGTAGTTGAGTATGATTGGATGATATTTAAAAAAATGAAAGGATGAGAAAGAGTAATGTACTGGGAGAAAGGGAAAGGGAAAGGGAAAGGTAAGATTCAAGCATTTCCCACACACACACACATAATCTCCATCTTCCCCTCCATGGTAAGTTGAATCTTATTCTCATCAGAAAGAAGGAATAACCTATACACTTCATTGTGTTTAGAAACCTATCATATGTTAACAGGAAAATAGAAGAGGAAGGAAATAAAAGAAGGAGAATATTGTTAATAGAAGAGAGGTTGAGTTGGGGGAGGTGGTAGTCAAAAGGAAAACACTTTTGAGGATGGACAGGGTGAAATGAGAGAGAATAAAAGGGGAAAAACAGGATGGAGTTAGAAATCATAACTGAAAAAATTTTTACAAGTTTCTCTGATAAAGGCCTTGTTTCTCAGATATATAAAGAACTGAGTCCAGTTCTTAGAAATAAGAGCCATTCATCAATTGATAAATGGTCAAAGGATATGAACAGGCACTCACGAAGTAAT